ATCTTCGGGTAGAAATATATTATTTTTGGGCTCAGCAGATGACATTTTGTACAACTTTTTGTTTACTGGAAATTTCACCACATCCTTTAAGTTATCGAAACTTTCTGCAAGAAAGTCTGTTCTGCGCACTCTGTTCTCAAGTTCCAAAATACTAAAATTTACAATAGTACTGGAAGTTGTTGTCTGTGACCGGAAACGTCTAAACGACTGCTCACATGGCTGGCTGCTGAAAAGCCAAGGTAAGAATAATTCATGTTGTTCAGAGTCTCTTAAATTTCTAATGATTTTGATTAAACCATGAGCATTAATTTCAATGCAGGTGTAAGCATTTGCAGTTATAAAGTTGTGCTGCAAAGAGTAGTCCTTATGAAGTTCAATAAATCTTCTCAAAAACCTCAAGAAAAAGGTCCACTTCCAAAACAGCTGAACTCTTTTGAGAGGCTGCATCTGAGGATCTAGGAATGCAGTTGTTAATTCCCTCATCATGTCAAGGTAAGTAGCTGTTCCCTCACTTCCAGGAATATGCAATTTCAAAAGAGTGGAGACAGATTCATCGCACAACTTTTGAGCACTACGGAAGTTCATCTTATCTTTGACAGCAATAGCATCCAGAGTCAGCTGATGTTGGTCTTTGCTTACTTTCTGAATCAGTTCAGCTATGTGACCTCTAGAAGCAACACACCGTGAACCCATAGGAATTATTACCGATGGTTTGGTGAGTTTCCCTCGAAGTTTGATGAGGAGATGAATTGTATCTTGTATCATAACTTCTTCATGTTTTAGGGTAGAGTTAAACCAAGCCCATTTTGAAGGAGGGCTTACACTGAAAGATCTTGCATACATGGCACTTAGCACCTTGGTATCCCCATCTCCTGAGACTCCAGCTATTGTTACACCCACTTCTTTCAGGCAGTGTGACGTCCAGGACCACCTTCTGTACACATCTTTAGCTGAGAACTTATTGTCAGTTCCAAAGAGAGCTAAACAGAAAGAAGGTGCGTTTGGAGTCAAGGGTTGAGCAACAACTAGGTATGCATTGCTGCTCACCCTCCCATCATCATAGTATGATTTTATCAAAGAAGCAGACGTAGCAGGAAAACTCCCTGTTATGGGCAGTCCGTCTTCATTCAATGGGAGGACGAATCCCTTAATTTGATTTGATTTGGAGTCGTATTGAATTCTTCCATTGACTCGGGTACCATCTTCGCTTAGCCAAACGGTTAAGGGAAGGTTCCTTTGATCTAGGAAATTCCTTAGGGCAAGAGCTCTGAAGTGCCCTTCCTTGATGGGCTCTGTAGGCAAAAGATTATTTCTCACAGTAGGCAGCGATGGAAAACCAAGATTTTCAGAGAGGATACAGTATAGCATGGGACCACCAAGAACAAATATTAGAGTGCCTAGCTCCTTTAAGGTAGATGAATACCTTCTACCCCTTTTCTTTCTGCCAGCATTTTCTTTAGCACATTCTAAAAGCATGTTGAGCATGCTCCCAACATTTTCTGAATCAACTTTATTTCCCAGGAAATATAAAGAAGATTCCATGGCTGAAGCAAGTTGTTTTTTTAACATTTCATTCTCTTTTAAAATTAACTCCATTCTATTGATTACTGGGAAAAATTCATCTATTTGGTGACATGACTCGGCTGATTTAATTAATTTTACCTTGTTCCGCCCACTTCTCGAGTATTGAGGCTGTGACCAATCTCTTTTAGGCTTAGGGAGAGGGCTGATCACGGTTCTTCCTCCCCCTTCTTCCGAAAATCCTTGTTATGATCCTCTTCCTTCTCACTGCCTTCAGATTCAGATATTATATTGGCTGTTCTTCTTTTCTTTTTGCCATTAAGAATAAAATTTTCACTGTCTTCATCATCAATATCTAAAACCTGTTCTGAATTTTCAGAATTTTGGTTGACGGATGCTGCAGCAGGTTTTCCAGGTTGAGTCTGAAACATATTCAATAAGGTACGCTGCTTTCCCTTCTTTTTAAGGGCAGGTTGTACAATATGTGCTCTCTCCACATGTCTATAGATATTAGAGGTATTTGTCCACTTGTTACCTCTTTTGTAGATTGTAAAATGTTGAGGTTGCCCTGATACAGTTTTACAATCAGGAATAGGACATAAGACTTCACATATATATCCCAAGGTATCTTTCTTAACATTGGCTGTAGCAGTTATCACTCTTTCTACAGGATCATCGGCTTCTAAATCTAAAGCTTTGAAGTTCTCAGAATGCTTAGAAAGCCAACGGTTTATCAGGCCTTCCACTTCTTCCTTTACTTTCAGAATTGCAGCAGGATTTTCTGCTTCTTCGGTTGTGGTTCGGAGGGATTTGGTTGGCTGGGGTGAAAAACAACTCCCAAGTTTTCGCTTGTTGGTAGAAGAGGTAGCTGCCGCTGCACATGCATCTCTGATTGCATACAAAGTGTGGAGGTGTCCACCCATAATTTCAAAATCTTCTGGGGAATATTGCCACCATTCTCCATAGTATTTTAAAAGCTGTTCTCCAAGATCCAGTTTTTTATCCTTTTCACATTTTTTTTCTAGTATCTTTGGTAACTTCAGTCTCATGAAAATTGCAATTCTTTCTAAATCTGATTTACAGAGAAGTTTCATAGCATGACATGAACCATAGCCCAATATGTTGCACACTTCTTTGAGTGGGTCTTCAAGGAAAAGAGATGTTGGATGACTTTCAACCAGCTTCCAGAAATCTTCTCCTTTGGCCTGCAAATCAAGAAGCACAACTGTTAGTCTTTGCAATACATTTCTAAAAAAATGTTTAAATTTCATCTGCACCAAATACAAATTTACATGTATTTTAAAGGTCAGTTTCAATAAAACATTTCTTAAATAAGTTTTGATATTTGAGCATTCAACAGTATTTTTTAATAAAGGAA